AAAGTATCAAAGCATGTTTTTATTTCCAAAATAGAAGTTTATATTGTGGTAATGTGGTACCTTATATGAACATTTTACAATACTTTTTTAGAATGCATATGGTCATTATTGGCACTCTAAATGTATTTTGATCCCTATTTTCGGAATAAAAATATGGATTTCCTATTTTGATAAATTTTTAATGTTTTACTCCTACTCTAATATTTTTTCTCATGCAAAATAGATTGCTCTGTTCCTTTTTTATCTTCCCAGTTTAATTTTTACGGTCAACTTTTTAAAATTTTGATTACATTTAACAAACAAATAAATTGAATTGCAATATAAATGTAATACCAATAAGTTTATTTTGAAAAATAGTTTTGAAATATTGCATTTTTATATTCCATCTGCCTTTTATAACTACTCTCACTCGATAACTTATTTTGTATGCATATTTTCATTGATCAATTGATAAAATAAATTATTTTTATTACATCTTATTTTTCTAGAATTTTTGATGAAGTTTTGAACGTGTAATTTATTCTTTTTATTTCTATATCAATATGTAAAAATATCAATTTACAAGAGATAATTTTACACATTGTTCGAAATAAGAATAAATATATGAGACGGACGAAGTAATACATATCTATTTATATATAAAAATATCAAGGTTGTTGCTATATCTACATCTCTTTTTGCTATATCTACCACATTTATGACAAATGTCTAATTTTATCCTCAAGTTAACTCATACTACGGGGTATGTTGCTTTTCCTTATTTTTATACTTTAAGAATAAATTTATCACTTTTTGACAAATGGAGTGAATATAGCAAAAAAAGAGTTGGATTTAGCAACACCCAAATTTTAATAATCATAATATTATACTCCTGCAAACATAATTTTTATTGATCATAGATTGGAGTATTTATACATACACGTGAAGAGATAAAGTCCGAGTAATAAATAAACAAAATCTTTTTTTAATAATGTTCGTCCGTTTTATTTCCGGTTTATTTGATTAATAGAGTGTCAATTAACTTTTTTAAAAGTCAAGTTTTATCAAAGAAGGGAACCCCATTTGGGGTTGGGCAATGACGCCAGTGGTGACGTAAATGGTTCTCTAACCGGGGTATAATAAAGTTTTTATGGGTAAATTCGATGATCCGCTTTATGTTCGCCATTAATCTATTTTTTTGAGTAAATTATCAGTTATAAGTCGTTTTACATATTTAGTCTTTAGATATCAAATATTACTAATAAAGTTCCCAATTATTATATCATTTTTCACGAATGGTCCTTTGTTAATGTTCTTGTTAAGAATATGGATAAAATTGTATATTCATACTTCTCTCTCTCCTCAATAAAGCTTCCTCCATCCTCTCATACTCTTTCTCAAACTCGTCACTGAATTTGGAACTCGTCACAGAAATGATCATTTCTCTCTCAATTATTAGTCTTCCTGGTGAAACCTAAAATCAAAACTAATTAGGTTTATGGATGAGTTTTATCGGTTACTCTCAAGAAATTATAAAGACAATAAACATTAAAACTCATCCATGAAGGTTATTAGTTTCTTTGGGTTCCACCAGTTAGACAAACAATTAAGAGAGGAATGATGATTTCGGTTTTGGGTTCAAAGCTTCAAACTTAGAGACGGGTTTGGAAAAAGATTACGATGGGAGGGAAGAAGCTTAATTGAGGAGAGAAAGAAAAGTAAATTTACCATTTTATTCATATTTTTAACGGAAATGTTAACAAAGGACCATTCATGGAAATGAATATAATAATTGGGGACTAAATTAGTACTCCCTCCGTCCTATAATGATCTTCTCAGAGCACTATTCCAACTTCACGGGAATTATATTTATTTGTGTTTTTTCATGGCCTATATGATAAAATAAAATATTCTTGTCACCACTTGTTTTGTTGAACTTTTGATGTAGTTTTAAATATGTATGTTTTATTTTTTATTTCTATACCAATATTTAAATAAAATAGATTGAAAAAACTTGGGATTTTTCTTCGTTTTGCGAACCGGGAAGATCATTATAGGACGGATGGAGTAATATTTGATATGTAGGAACTAAATATGTAAAATGACCTATACCTGGAGATCTTTTATGGAATTTATATAATCAAAATACGTAATTTCTTATTTTTTCCAATAAATGTTTATTTTTTAAATCACAAAGAAAATATTTTATATAAGAAGATTCACAAAAATAGTATGGACCCAAGACGCACCATATAAGAAACTTCATTTTATAATTGATCAAAATTCAAAACCAAGTTACAAAGGATATATAGCAACTTATTTTAGCAAGTTTCATTAGCGATAGCAGTTATTTTTCATTAATTTTAAAATATGAAATTCTTATAATGCACCCCGTTTATGAAAAAAATATATTAGTTTTTTTTATTTTTAAATATTATATTTTTATCATGTATTCGTCGAAAAAAGAATATCATAGTTCCTATTCAAAAATCACGGAAATTATTATTTCTCTACGTTTTCATCGATTATTTGATAAAATAAAATATTATTGTCCTATCTTGTTTTGAAGAACTTTTAACATAGTTTTTAAATATGTAAATTTTATTTTATCTTATTTCTATACCAATTTTTATATAAAATGAAATGAAACAAATTAAAATTTTGCTTCGTTTTGCATAATGTGACAAACATATTGGGGAGGTAATAATATAAATGTATGAAATTGGAACCGGTCACAATGTCATTTAGTCTTCGCTCTTCTATCACAGTAACAACATACTCATATTTAGAAGATTAAACTGACTTTTATTTTAGTTTGTAGGTTAATTTTACTCTTATCTCGCAAAATTTCTTTAATGGTGTATTTGGCAACTTGAATTTGGATTTCAAATATGAATTTGATCAAAATTACTTGTTTGCAATTAAAGAGTGATCTTTCCTCATGTAAGAACAATTCTGTACATATTAGTCGGCTTCTGTTACCATATTTACCGACTTCAAAATTTAAATTCTAAAATTGAAATTCTATGACTTCTCGAACAACATTTGAAATTTAAAATTATGAGATTTCAAATATTGGAATTGAAATTCTATGACTTCTCGAACAACATTCTAGAATGTTAAAGAAAAGAAAAAACCAAAGTAGGATTAAAACATTGAAAATATACCAAAATAAGTCTTCCATGTTTTTATTTCCGAAATAGGACTTAAAATGCAATTACATTACCAAACATAGTCATGTACATTAACAAAAAGTATAGTAATGTGCACATGTACAGTGTCACATTACCACAGTGCGAAGTCCTATTTCAGATAAAAACATGAAAGTCCTATTTTGATACTTTTCTTTATGTTTTAGTCATATTTAAGATGATTTCTAAAAAAGAAAAGCAAGGAAAAAAATTGTTTGACAGAATCATTAATTATTTACGGCATACCAATAGATGTTTTTCTGTATTGGTGTTGATGGGTATATTACATACCCAGGTATACTCGTCGATACCGAGGTGACGTGTCAACCATGAGGTCGGGTGACCAGTGGTGGTTCGGATCTTCCGGATTCGACTGGGTGGCTATTCGGAGCATGGCGCTGGGCGACCAATCACCCCCGATTAAAGGTGACCGGTCACGGATCTTCTTTTCGGACTCAACTAGGCGGCTACTTTGGAGAATGGTGGTAGGTGACCGGTCATCCCCCGGATTTAGGTGACCGGTCACGGTTGTACCTTCACCCTCGGCGAGATGGCATTTCGGATCACGGCGGTGCGTGACCGGTCACCCCCGGACTCACGTGACCGGTCACGTTTCTTGGTCTTCGGGGATGGTCGGTGCGGACATTTGGGCGCGGCAGTTGGTGACCGGTCACCTTCCGGATTAGGGTGACCGGTCACGGTCTTGGTCTTCAAGAATAGACGTTAGACGCTTTTTTGGTACGACATTGAGCGACCGGTCACCCTCCGGATTGGGAGACCGGTCACTATCCTGAGCTCTTGAGGAAATGAAGCATTGGGCTCCGTACAACTTGACCGGTCTCACTTTTGAGCTTCGATCTGTGGATCACGCCCGGACGTATCCGCCTCCCCCAAACCCTAGTATCTAGGAGATCAATGGAGGGACCCACACCCGTCACTCAAGAAATCAGTGTGGTAAAGTCATTTGGCACTATCCTAGATTTGTATTCAATCAACATATTCTGATTGCACAATGATAGATGCTGTCTGGTTATTTGTCCTTAAGTGGGCAGCTTCCATGCACCTACTGAGCCTCATCTACTCTATAAATAATCTGTGATAGAGAGAGGAGAGGGTATTCACTACTACTTCCATAAAATCCTGTACACTCTAAAAAGAGTAAGAAATATATTCGGACTCGGGAGATTTACCCCGGTCCAGGTAATTCTGTGTTGTGTTCCTTACTATTAAGCTTATCTTTATTTACCCGGTTAGGCCTCCCTAACCCGACCCAGTTACCTACTTCTCATATCCGGTGGAATTTACACCATCAGGTGCTTATTGACTTATTAATGATAAACGATTTTCAACTTATAAGCTGTTAATAAATTATATTTTCCCTCCGTTCTTACATAAATTACAATTTTTTTTCTTTCTCCTCTCGATAACTTTTGTTTGTTTACACAATTTTATTAAGTATTTGATAAGGAACTTTTAATATGTAATTTTTATATATGTAGTTTTTTAATATGTAATTTTTATATCTTATTGATATACCAATTTGTAAATAAAATGATTTCAAAAAGTAAGAAATTTATTTTCATAACCCGGAATTTGTAATCTATTTAGGGACGGAGGGAATATTATTTAATGAAGATAAAAACCCTTAAATGATACGGAGTATATAAGTAATTTGTGAAAATTAATAATAGATGAAGGATAGTTTTAAAAACAATGAGGTCAAAACAGAAAACTAAAAAAAAACTAATTTTAAAATAAATAGACAAGACTTAATTATTTTTTATGACTTATAAATATGTTTAAAAAAAACAGCTTATACTCCATAACTCCATAGAAATAAATTTGTACTATTGACTTTTGTCATGAGTCATGAGATGATATTACTATTAAGGTGGCTCAAAACCATTTGGTGAGATGATGACCCTCCAATGCTAAATACCTCAACCTGTCAATAAACTAATGGAGGAAAAAAGAAATGTGAACCCCATTGTTTTCTGTGATCTAACTGCTCCCACACCATGTCAAAATTCCTTGTTTGGAACCCTCTCTAGGAACCCTCCCCCTCTTCAAACTCTTGATCTCCTTAAGAATCTTGGCTGTTCTTCTTCTTCTTCTTCTCCTCTTGGTAATAAGAAGCACCCGCACCCGGATGACAACGACAGGGAATTGGAAGAATGCGAGGAGTGGAGGAGGAGGAGAAAGCAATCTGCTGTTTATGGTCATCATGTAGAAGAAGAAGAAGAAGATGATGATGATGAAGATGATGTGGAGTTATCAGAGATGTTCGACAGGTTTCTGCTGTGTTCAGATCCTAATGAGTATAGCATGAATATTCAACCAGCAGCAGCTGGAAAGAGGAAAGAAATTGGGCGAGTTAAACATGACGATGATGAACATAATAAGAGTAAGAACCCAAGACTCGGCATAGATCTGAGTGCCCTTTTGATCAGCTGTGCCAAATCCATCGCCTCATACGATCACAGAACTGCAAGTGAGCACTTGAAGGAGATCAGGCTGCACTGCTCCCCTTCCGGCAACGGCGACCAGCGGCTGGCTTATGTTTTCGCGCAGGGACTGGAGGCGCGTCTGGCCGGCACCACCACACCTCCGGTGCCGCCCAAGAAGATCACCGCTTTCGACTTGCTCGAAGCCTACCGGTCTTACATGCAGACATGTCCCTTCGCCAAGATCACTTTCGCCTTCGCAAACAAGATGATTTATCTCGCCTCCTCCGGTGCCAAGACCATACACATCATCGATTTCGGCATTCTCTTCGGCTTCCAATGGCCCATCCTCATCCAGCACCTCTCCAACCGGCCCGGCGGCCCTCCCAGGGTCCGCATCACCGGAATCGAACTTCCTCCGCCCGGTTTTCCACCGCAACCACCAGCCCAATTGGTGCACCAAACAGGGCGGCGCTTGGCCAAGTACTGCCACCGCTTCGGCGTCCCATTCGAGTACAATGGGATCCCTACCCGCAATTGGGAGGGGGTCAGAGTGGAGGACTTGAAGCTCTCCGGGAGTGGAGATGAAATGGTTGTGGTGAATTGTATATTCAGATTCAAAGACATGCTGGACGAGTCGGTGGGCATGGAGAACAACCCGAGGGACGCCGTCCTGAGGCTCATAAGGAAACTGAACCCGAATCTCTTCGTGCACTCCATCGTCAACGGGAGCGTCAACTCCCCCTTCTTCGACATCCGATTCCGGGAGGCCCTGTTCCACTACAATGCCCATTTCGACATTCTTGAAAAGACGTTGCCCCGGGACGATCCGCAGAGGGCTCTGTTCGAGCAGGAATTCTTCGGGCGGGAGGCGTTTAACGTGGTGGCCTGCGACGGGGAAGAGAGGGTTTCGAGGCCGGAGACGTACAAGAAGTGGGGGGCGAGGAGCGCCGGAGCCGGGTTCAGGATTCTCCCGCTGAACCCGGAGGTGACGGGAATGTTGAGGAAGAAGGTGAAGACAGGGTACCACAAGGAGTTTGTGTTCGATGAAGATTGCGATTGGATGTTGCAGGGATGGAAGGGACGGATCCTCTGTGCCGCTTCTTGTTGGGTCCCTGTTTTCGGCGTCTCCAACGATTTCCCGTAGCTCCGGCGCCTTTACTGATACGCCGGCTAAAATTGCGGAGGAGAGGAGATTGAACGGCCGTCTACCGGCGCGTTTCTCGGAAGAGGATTGACTTTTCTTTTATGCATCATTTTAATCAATAGTTAATTATAGATAATTACCTTTTACGGAGTACATAATACTCCTCCGTTATAAAAATATTTTTTGTTTTACTCGGTAACTTTTTTGATCAAATGACTACAAATTAAACAAAATTTAAATAAATAAATGATATTAAAATTTGATATATCAAAACTATATCTTAAGATAAAATCAATTATATCGAATTTATATTATAATTAAATATACTTTTCATAGAATTTGTGGTCAAAGATTGTCTGTATTTGACTAAAAAATCAAAATAAAAAAGATTTGTACGATTGAAAAAAGTATGAGATATGTACTTGTATTATATGATTGATCTTCTCACTATAGAATATAGAAATGGAAGAACCTTCCTAAAGACATGTATCTCAGTATATTTTGAAACTTAGACATACCTCACAATTTTTATCACAAATGTGAGATATCCCTAGCAATTTTTTGTAAGTATTACCGAAGACAAGGGTTGGATCAAAATTTCATCAAATCGTTTTGGAAACCCTCTTCAGGTGGACACTATTATTCGTTTGTTATGTCTCATCAGGGATAGTTCAAAATAAGTAATGGTAACAAAAGCTAAGGCTTAGGAGTTCAAAGTAAGCTTATGTTCTATTTGAGCAAGTGCCAATATTGGTATTGTACATTATTAAGTAGTGGCCATTGTAAATGATGATATTCACCTTCATCATTAAAATTCGATCTAAGCGAAAAGAGTAAAGACGCTATCGCCCTAATCTTAGTTATTGCCTAAGTGAAAGGATCCTTACTGTCTAATGCAAATAATGATTCTAACCTCCATCATTAAATTTATCGAAGCTATTTTTTTTCTTAAGAAATTACTGGTGTGATATTATACACTACTTTTTGTGAACATACTATTGACAAGTGTTATCGTGCTCTGTCAAGTCTCAACTCTCAAGACATCGTTGTATTTAGATATTACAATGGTACTACTCCCCGTAATATGTAGTAAATAATAGTGTCCTAACTCCTAAGTTATAGTGGTCAGATCTGTCGATTAAAATACAGAATTACATAGTAACAGAGAGAAAATCATAATTTTGGCATTGAATGATAAAAATATAAATAAGGTAATAATTTTTTTTTATAAAATGTAAGTTCTTATAAAAAAAGAGGTATCTAGAGTTAAAAATTTTGTGTTTAATTGGTCAATGTAACGGATTTATAATCCCGAGTAAAATAAATTTCTGAAATTTTACTCAATATGTATTTTTTAATCTTATCTAAGTTTTGATTCCAAGTAAAAAACAAGAATAGTCTTTATTTCCGGGTAGAGATTTGATACCCCCTGATAAATCCTTGAAAAAAAAACAGTGTGTCGATGTAGATTGCTACGGAGGAGCATTTGCTACACAGATGGATTGCTGCTGCTTCAGCCCGTGACGTTATTGTCTCTATTCTTCTGAGGTACGCTTCTGAATCATATTCGCAACAAGGTTTTCGAGTTTGTAACTGATTATGTCTTGCTGAGTTTATAATGTTTGAATTATTGAAATTCAACTCCAATTTGATCAAGTACCTCTTCGTTTTCTATCATTCATTTCGGTTGATGACTACTAGGGTTTAAGCTACATGCATAGTTTCATTTTGAACATCAAGGATCAGCCTGGTTGTTCTCCATCCTGTTTTTTTTTCCTTTCAATTTTTGATTTTTCCTGTTTAATTCTTTCCCAATTTTTTTTTAAAAAAGTGTCTAAACCACATATATTTCGTAGTAATTTCCTAACTCATTTTTAAGGCAGTAGTCAGCTATTATTATGGTGGTTGGGATTACCGGTAGTGGATGTGTGGTTGTGGACAGTACTGTGGAATGTAGTTGACGGTGGAAGTGGTCGGTAGTTGCAGGTGGTGGACACTATTTGTGGCGGTTTCCGGTGGTGGTGGGCGCGGATTGTACACACACTCACACATCCAAGAACAAATAGGATATGAATATTAAAATTCATATAATGAATTATTATTAGGATATGAATTTATTAAAATTTGATCTAATATTCTAATCGCTTATGTGAGAAGGTCAATGATGAACCTTAGGTCCATGATAGAAGCATTCCAATAGTTATCATTATTGTTTAAGCCATCTCTTTTTAGTGTGTAGCAAACACTTGTTCAGATGTGAAAATGTGATATTGACAAAGCCATGAAGGCATGACTTTATATGAGTATATAATTGCTCAGTACAACAGTGGATGCAAACTCCAAGCGACATACTTGTATTAGTTCAATATGATTCATTGATTGAATAATATGAAGAAGATGTATTTATTATCTCATTGTTGACACGAATTTGTTTACTACATCTGTAAGGGCGTGTTTGGTTAGAGGGGAGAGAAAGAAAAATGACTCCTGTAGTTGACGCCATTAGTCAGTTAATATTCTGCTTGTAGTTGACGTCCTTCGCGGCAATGTCATGGACGGTTGTTGCAGGCAATAACATTGATTGTCATTGACATCGGAATTGGGAGGTTGTTCTGGCTGGTGGTCACTATTTGTGGCGGTTCAAATACCCACATTTAAGAATTAGCATTATTGTTTAGGCCATCTCATTACATTGTGTGGCATACTTGTTCAGATGTGCTATTGCCAAAGTTCAATGTGATTCATTGATTTTGATATGAAGAAGATGCATATACAATATATTTCTCTTTGTTGGCGCTAATCTGTTTATTACATCCATATGTTTGTGTTTGGTTAGAGGGAATGGAAGGAAAAATGATTCCCTCTCCTCATTTGGTTCAAATTCTTTAGGGTGGGGAAGCCAGAGTTTTCACACCATTCACATCCCATCGCGTCCAAATGTTGAGGGGATGGAAATATTTTGCTCTTTAACCCTAAAGATGTTTTGAACCATATGTGGGGGGAGGCAATCAGTTTCCTTCCTCTCTCCTCCAACCAAACACACCCTAAATCTCCGGATTCTCCTTGTTTTTGGAAGTGTTATCAAATCCATTCACTTCTCACTCATCGATGTTCTTGCTATGGATACTCCAGGATTGATCTTTTCACATACTGTATGTTTATGGATCCTCGATTCACTGGCTTTGCAGAGCACGAAGATCCATTCCTTGTTTCAACCTTTCTGCAATCGTTGGATACTCCTCAAAATGACTCTTTAGCAGCTCTGGGTTTCACCGATAACCCTTGGACCACACTTGGTTCCAACCATGGCCATTTTGTTCCACCTGCAGATTTGGATTCCCCAGATGCCGATGACCCTATGTCCAAGGGTCCACCTGCAGATTTGGACTCCCCAGATGATGATGACCCTGTGTCCAAGTACCTCAGCCAAATACTATTGGAGGAGAACATCGGTGAGAAGCCGAGTATGTTCCATGATGCAGTTTCTCTTCAAGCTGCCGAGGATGACTTCTCAAGCTCCCATGATAAGAGCCAACTTTCACCTCATCAATCCCAAGTTAGCCATAATAACCCAGAAAGCTCAGGCAACATATATGAGAATTCCAATGCAAGCAATGGCACCATTGGTTCTCTAAATACAAATAATATCCAAGTATCAGATGTCAGTAAGCTTGGAAATATGTTTGGTGACACAGAGGCCATACTAAATTTCAAGAGAGGAATGGAGGAAGCTAGTAAATTCCTGCCCGCTAATAATGAATTGTTTATTGATTTCGATAGATACCCATTTCCTCAAAAGACAGTTGAGTTGCCTAGGGATAATGCTATAAACAAGGTAAGGAATACTGAGATTGATAACAATTCACTTAGAGGAAAGAAGCATCAGCATCCCGATCATGGCTATGAGTTTGAAGAAGAGAGGAGCAGCAAGTTATCTGCGGTTTATGGGGAAGAACAGTTATCGCAGATGTTTGATAAGGTTTTGCTGTCTGATAGTAATGTGAAAAATCGTGTGAAGAATATTCAATGCTCACCTGAAGTAGTTGGCAAGGGCAGGCCTCGTAATGGTGGGAAACGACATCCTAATAAGCAGCAGCAGGGAGATACAACAAGTGAAGTTGTAGATCTGCATACTCTTTTGATAAGATGTGCACAATCGGTTGCCACTGACGACCACAAGTCTGCAAATGAACAATTAAAACAGATCCGGAAGCACTGTTTGGTCAATGGTGATGCAGATCAGAGGGTGGCATATATATTAGCAAACAGCCTTGAGGCGCGTCTGGCTGGCACGGGGACCCTCCTCTTTAAGTCCCTAACCCCTAAAGGAATCACAGCTTTTGACAAGTTAAAAGGATACCAGGTTTACATGTCCGCAATTCCTTTTAAGAGGACAGCAATAGACTTGGCAAATAAAATGATTTACATGGTCTCATTGGAAGCCAAAGCGCTACATGTCATCGATTTCGGCATTCATTACGGTTTCCAATGGCCCATCCTTCTCCAGCATCTTTCGAACAGGCCAGGTGGGCCTCCTACACTTCGTATTACCGGAATCGATTATCCTAAACCTGGTTTCCGTCCAGCGGAATTGATAGAAGAGACCGGGCGCCGCTTGACAGATTATTGTGAACGCTTTGGCATACCATTCAAGTACAATGCCATAGCGACACGAAATTGGGAGACGATTAAAATTGAAGATTTGGAGCTTGGTGATGATGAGATGGTTGCCGTGAATTGCTCATTCCGGTTTAAAGACGTGCTTGATTATAAGGTGGTTATGGAGGATAGTCCTCGTGATGCCGTCCTCAGGCTAATCAGGAAAGTGAACCCAAGGGTTTATGTGCAAGCTGTTGTAAACGCAGCTTATGGCACGCCATTCTTTGCTTCTCGGTTCCGGGATGCTCTCTACCACTACTACTCCTTCTTTGATATTTTCCACACTTTATTTCCCCGTAACGATCCGCAGAGGCTCCAACTTGAGCATGATATCTTTGGGCGGGAGGCGTTGAATGTGGTTGCATGTGAGGGCACGGCAAGGGTTGTGAGACCCGAGACATACAAGCAGTGGCAGATAAGGAATACTAGAGCTGGGTTCAAACTTCTTCCATTGAACCCAGAACTGATGGCCAGGTTGAGGAAAAAGGTGAAGACAGGGTACCACAAAGAGTTTGTGTTTGATGAAGACGGCGGTTGGATGGTGCAGGGATGGAAGGGGAGGGTTCTTACCGCTAGCTCCTGTTGGGTGCCTGTGTAGAAAGAAAAGAAACCTGTGTGAAATGGTGGCCCCATTTACCTAGCTCGACCCCTACGAGAGGCTCTGCCCCTGCTTCCGGAGGCTGCTGTCCCCACGAACCTCGATATAGAATTTCTAATATCATTGAACGAGCGTGTACTATGCATCACTCAACTCGTTAACAAAGGTCTATTAAAGTTATCGTATGCTAAGGAAATTCAATTACATAAATTACCTTGTTAATAGTAAAATTACGAATGGGCAAATTCATTCAATTGTAATAGCAAAACTCGAGAGACAATTATCTTTGATCATAAGTTTCTTTGTATGGCCAAGTTTGAAAATGCAAAAAGTAAGGTATTTAATTTTCTTTAGACTTGTTTTCTTCGATTTGTAGTTATTACTCTCTCTGTCTCATTTTAAATTGTCTGTTTGCCTTTTTTCTCTATCCTTAAATAAGTTGTCTGTTACTTGTTATAGAAATCATCCTAAATAGGACTAAAACATAGAAAATAGTACCAAAATAGGACTTTCACATTTTTTTCTCGAAATAGGACGTTGCACTGTGGTAATATGACTTTGTTCTGTTGTAATGTGGCAGTGTACATGTGCAAATTACTATACTTTTTTGGTAATATATATGACCATGTATGGTAATGTAAGTCCTATTTCGGAAATAAAAACATGGAAGTCTTATTTTGGTATATTTTCAATGTTTTAGTCCTGCTTTGGTTTTTCTCCCTATTTGTTATCGTAAACTTTTATGAGTAAAATACCTAAACTACTCCTAAAATAAGTCACTCTTCTCCACCTTATCTTCTCATTCATCGTCATCCCTTCTAAAAAGTATTGGCAATTTCGAAAAATCAACTATATTTTTTTATTTTCCTTAAATATGTCCAAAAGTCAAAACATACAATTTAAATTGGGACGGAAAGAGTACTTATTAGTATTAGATTAAAGTAAAGAAAAAAAATCAAATCAAGTCAGATATATTCAAATCAGATTAAAAATAATTTTAATTTTAACTAGCATTAAATTAGATCAAATAAGAAAAATTGAAATTAAATAAGAAAAATCAAATGACCAAAAAGCATGTCGCAATTTACATTCTAGATCAGATCTTACTTCACCTTTGGTTTATATTCTTTTAAAATTTCTTCAGCTCACCTTTTAGGCTTTTCTTTGGTCATTATCACCTTTTGACTTTAGTTCACCGTCTTTTATTTTTGTCCCAGATCTAATTATATTTTTTAAAGAAAGCTTTTAAAACGGAATGCTCTTAATAAAATACTTATGCGAATATAAATTAATTTATATATTGACTTTTTTGCTACCCATTCATACATTTTAACTAACAATATCAAAAATGTAAAAAAATTGAGTATATAGGTAACACGAGTACTACGTTTGTAGCATTATTGTCTAATAAAGTTACCCTAAATTCACAGCGTAAATAAATGCAAATAAATATTATTTACTTTAAAAATTAACTTGTTAAAAATAATATAAAAATATAAACTACGAAAAATGAAATTTATACTCTGAGAGTCTTTGACTAATTTGATTATTATTTTTTTAAGTCAATCTGTTAAAAATAAACCTATATTACATATAAATGCAATACATTAAATTTATGAAAGTTTTTTACATGATAAATTTTAATAAAGTTGTTTTTGTATTATAAGTTTTCATATTATAGGAGATATAATATCAGAATATTAGTTAATTTAATACTACCTCCGTCCCTGAGTATTTGTCCAGTTTTGATTTTTTTCGGTCAACTGTTTTCAACCTTTGACCTATAATTAAATGAAATATATATTGTATTTTAATTAAATAAAATACTATTTTGAAAATATTTGATATAATAAATCTAATAAAACTCTTTTTGTATCAATATCTAATATCATTTTTATTTAATTTGAGGTCAAAGTTTACCAATTTTGACCAAAAAAGTAAAAAATGGACAAATACTCAGGAACGAAGGGAGTAGGAGATATATTATAAGTTTTTACTTTTTATGTCATACTCGTATTTATTATCCTACTATGTTTCTTATTTAGTTAGAAAATCCATGAGTGTGTGTGTGTGTATATATATATATATGTATATATATATATATATATTGGTGGACATCAAATTATTGAATAGAAATAGTTATTATCAAATTGTAAGTGATGATTTTTATTTTTTTTCCAAAATCTTATTATTTTTTCTTGAATGCAAACTGACATTTATTCTAATCAACTTGAAGATGAAGCGTCCAAACTTTAATCACGGGATTTAAGGAGTACTCCGTAATTCACTAATCCTTTTTTAAAAGTGCTCCCTGCATTTTCGGTCTTTCCTTCATGTGAGAGACTTTGACTCTATTCCAGAGTGAGTGACTTTGAGTCTTTTGTGTACGTTTTTTTGGCGCTAAATGCTCTAGCGTCTGTCTTCCTCTTCTCCAGTTCTTAGGGTACGCAATCTGGATTACGTATTGAGCGGTTTCTGAGCGATTCCTTTGATCTTTACTCTACCGAATTATCTAGTAATTCTCCGCTTTTCTGTGACTATGACGACCCTTCATTTCCATTAGAGGCTAGGGTTTAAGCTTTACAATTTTTCAGTTTTCATAAATTTTGATCTCTACTCTACTGAATCCCATGAATTTTACTTGTTGTAATTGTTTCTGCATATTTGCTTGCACTGTTGTTGTTTTTTGTGATTTCATGTGAAAAGAGCAATCTTAAAGGGTTCAACTTTTGAAGTGTTGGGTGGGTGCTTTTTGTTTGCTTGTTTGTAAACTTAGTAATTCAGTTCTGATGACTTGTGGAGCAATGATGTTTTTTTAAGAGATGCCTCTTTCTGCAATTTATGGTTGTAACACTATTTCTCTATGAATTACTGCTAAGTGTGTGGGCATTTTCTGAATTTATATCTCTCTGGTGGTAAATCTGTAAAAGCGTCTGCGATTTGAATTGGCATCTGTTAATGGTATTCATCACGGCAGGATCGTCTTTGCTATTAAAGTCATTCACAAAGTCATTGTCTTTGAATACATTGTTTACTCATACTCCGTATTCAAACTCTGGATGCTGCAGGTTCTTTTCACACATAGGCTTATGGATCTTCGATTCACTGGGCTCCCTGGCTCCGTGAGCACATTCAAGCAGCAAGATGAGTTCCTTTGTTCTAGCTTTCAACGATCTGAAGATGCTGCTTATTACACTCACTTGGACGGCTCTTTAGCTCTGGATTCCATGGGTGACCCTTTGGCTGCGCCTGTTTCCAACCACGAGGCAGACCCTGTTTTCAAGTACCTCAACCAGATACTATTGGAGGACGACATCGATGATAAGCCCCCTATGTCCTATGATCCAACTGCTCTTGAAGCCGCGGAGAAATACTTCTATGAAGCCCTTGATGAGAAGAACCATCCTTCACCTCTTCACTCTCTGGGTAGCCATAAACAACAAAGCTCGGATAGAATATATGTGAATTCTAGTGAACTCTATTCGAGCAATGGTTCCACCAGTAGCAATCACAGTGACCCGCCTCAGCGAATTGTCGATCATGGACAATCTATGTCACCTTTAGTGGGCTGTCCTCCTGAGCCATATTTCCATTCTTTGCTACCCACTTCTGAGACTTCAAATGGCTCTTTATATAGCAATGGGAGTAGTACGAACCTCCAAGTGGACTCTCTGTGCACAATGCAGTTCAAGAGAGGAACGGAGGAAGCTAATAAATTCATCCTCACTAGTAATCAACTGGCTTTTGATTTAGACTCATTGCCTCCAAAGATGGATGAGAGGCCTGATGATACAATCACCGAGCTAGAGAATAATGATATGGAGAGTTCACTTACAACTTCTGCAAGCAGAAAGAAGCATCACCATCAGGATGACAAGAAGTTTGAGGGAGAGAGGAGCAGCAAGCAGTCTGCAGTTTATGGGGAAGAGGAGTTATCAGAGATGTTTGATAAAGTTTTGTTGTGCGATCCTGTTGAGTGTCCCATGAATGTTTTATCTGAAGTTGGCAATGGCCGGTTACATAATGTTCCCAATGGTGGGGATATTCCACTCTCCTCTGAAGCTGGAAAGAGCAATTCACACAATGGACGCAAACGCCGTGGGAAGAGGCTGCAGGGTGATGAAACAAGTGAACGTGTAGACGTAAGGACCCTTTTAATCAGCTGCGCACAATCAGTTGGTGCTAGTGATTGCACGACTGCAAAAAAACATTTAAAAGAGCTCCGGGAGCATTGTTCCCCTACTGGTGATGCGAATCAGAGGCTGGCATATGTATTTGCTAATTGTCTTGAGGCACGCTTGGCTGGCACGGGGTCTCAGATCCATAGATCTCTAGCCTCTAAAACGTACACAGCTTTGGAGACGTTGAAAGCTTACCGGGCATACATGTCAGCATGCCCGTTTAAGACGATAACAATAGCATATGCAAATGAAATGATTTACATGGTTTCGCTGGAAGCTAAAGTGCTACATCTTATAGATTTTGGCATTTTGTATGGTTTCCAATGGCCTGCCCTAATCCAACTACTGTCTACCAGGCCGGGTGGACCTCCTAAACTTCGCATTACAGGAATAGGTCTTCCCCAACCGCGCTTTCAGCCAGGAGAATTGATAGAAGAGACCGGACGGCGCCTGGCAAAGTATTGCGAGCGTTTTGGCGTGCCATTTGAGTACAATGCCATAGCGGCTCGAAATTGGGAGGCAATTAAAATTGAAGATTTCAAGCTTAGTGAAAATAGTGACGAGACGGTTGCAGTAAACTGCATGTTTTGGCTAAAAGGCCTGGCTGATGAAACAGTGAGGGTGGACAGTCCTCGTGATGCAGGTTTACGCCTAATCCTCAAACTGAAACCGAGTATTTTTGTGCACGCCATTGAGAATGGATCTTTCAATTCTCCATTCTTTGTGACTCGGTTCCGTGAGGCCCTCTTCCACTACTCTGCATATTTTGATATTTTTGACAGTACATTGCCCCGTGATACTCTGCAGAGGTTTCTTCTTGAGCAAAATTTCTACGGGCGAGAGTCGTTGAATGTGATTGCATGCGAGGGAGAAGAGAGGGTTGTGAGGCCCGAGACGTACAGGCAGTGGCATGGGAGGAGCATGAGAGCTGGGTTCAAGCCTCTTCCACTGAACTCTGAGTTCATGAACAAGTTTAGGAAAACGGTGGAGGCAGGGTACCACCCAGAGTTTGTGTTTGGTGGAGATGGTGTTTGGATGCTGCAGGGATGGAAGGGGAAGGTTCTTTGCGCTAGCTCCTCTTGGGTGCCTGCATAGAACTCTCCCGTTGTTCCACGTAAACAACAACAGGCACTCACTTCCAATCCCGCGGTGGATTTCACGAAAAACAAAACAATCAATCGAAAGATATGAATGTTGTAAGATTTGCTGCATAACCGAATTGTTTTGCGAATAAGGACAGTGACATTTAGTGTTTACAAATCATGTATCTTGCCATTATTTGTACTTTGTGACAAATATATAGATCCATGCTTGCTTGTGAGAAGATCCACGGTGGACGACATGCTGTTGTTTTCTAGTGAGAATGAGTCTTACCGTCTTATATCGAATTCGAATCAACAACAAAAGCGTCAACCCATCATGATCATGTTGTTTTTTGTTGATAAAATTTTTGTTCATCTTAAGGCCTTTGTGGTACATTACACAAGCCAAACGATATGTAGTATCATCTTTGCATGCCATAGTGCTTTAAATGGAGAATCCTCTTAACAACATCACGCTTCATAGTAACAACACCATGATCATGCTATCCTATTACGTGAAAGAATATATAATTTAAAAAATTTATTCGGCTTTACTATTTGTGGTGTAAATATTTCATGTATTTCTTTTGAACTCATTTAAATCATTATGTTGCACTATAATCCCGATGAGTAAATCACATCCAAAGCACGTTTCGGTGGCGTTTGCTCGCACAACACAAACAAACTTTTTCTATAGATTCGGTCTTCAGAGAATGTTTGGAAGTGTGGTAGATTGTTGAAAAATAGAAGTTTTAAGTCAAAGCGAAAACTCGTTATTTTTAACTTTGCTTAAAAGTACTTCTGGAGCTCATTTTAGATTGCAGAAGTCATACTCAAATTAGCAGACACAACAAATATTATTTTAGTAAAGCAAAAGCTTATAAGTAGTTTTTAAACGCAACCCCAATATCCTCTTAGTGTTTACTAAGTTTGCCCTTTTTTAAACAGATAGCCGAACATGAACACAGAGTATATGTTCAAAGACAATATGATGAAGATGAGATCTCAGTGTAACTTCTACAGAGTATTTATACTCCTAATTTGACCTTTTCAAATTAAATTAGATCGAATTTGAGTTTTAATTAAATAAAAATTTCAATGTATTTTAGTGTAAAATAGATTTTATTAGATTTATCTTATTGATAATTTTCAAAATTTTATTTTGTTATTCTAATATGCAATACAAATTGAGAGTAATTGAAACACCAAACTCATCTAATTTGATTCCAAAAAGTCAAATTTGACAAATATATTAGTCAGCGTTACACTGTTTCACATCAAAAAATAAGGAAGGTTTGTTATATGGGCCATGCTAGGGATACACTAACATGGGGTACCCATATGTACACTAAGCCAACACAGACACACACACAGATACAAAATGTCGGTGCAGCACAAACATTTTGTGTCTGTGTGTATTTGTGTTAGCTTGGTGTACATATGGGGTACCCCATGTTGGTGTACCTCTAGGTTAATTCTTGTTATATACCCCGTCCCACAAATATTTACATTCTTCACTATTTAAAAATAAGGGAAACTTTTGTTTTTTAGGTTTTTTCATTGACTATATGATGACAAAAAATTTCTTTCACTTTTTGTTTTGTAAAACTTTAAATATAATTTTTAAATATGTAAATTTTATTTTTTTATCTCTATATCAATCTTTTAATAAATGAGTTAAAAAACTTAATATTTTATTTCGATTTGAGTAAAGTGTAATTCACTCAGGGTCTGTTTGGACATGGAATTGATAGAATTAAAATTAAATTGGAAGTTGAAATTGCATGAAATTGATTTGGATGGAATTGAATCTTTCAAATTCAATTCATTTTTGGCACTACCAATTTTAAAACCATACATTTTTGTGCTACCAAACAGCAAAATTAGATTTGTTGTTTTTAATTTCAACTCCATAGTTTGAATTCTATATACCAAACGGAGCCTTAGAGTATTAGAGCAACTATATTGGGAACTGGGAAGAGAATTGTTGAGAAATGAAGATGTGGAAAAGGAGAAAGTAAGAATGGTTAAAGTAGAGAGGGGAAAGGAGAGAGAAGAGGGAATGCACATTCCCCCGAAGAATTTACATTACTTATTTTAAAATAACTTATTTCGAATTGGTATGATAAATATTGTATAGATAAAATAAACTTATTACAGAATAGTAAAATGATTTATCTTTTAAAAAAATTAAATAAATTTATGATTTCTGGGCCCATTATTAAAAGGAAAAGAAAGTGGGAGGAACAATTAGGCCATGAGATGTGTTCTCCCTTTCCCTTTCCTTTCAGATAATTGTCTTCCCTTTTTCCCCTTCAATTTTCAATATTATATTTAAACACTTATTTTAATAATTAAACTAAAAGTATCAAAATAATGAAAATTTACTTTTAACTATTGTTTTATTAAACTTATACTCCGTAATAATTAAAGATTTCATTAAAATTTAAAGTGATTCATTAAAAGTGATACATTAAAATTAAATAAAAAGCAGCATAAAATTGATAGATTAAATAATTAATGTACACAACTAAAAAAACTAAACTAAAACTTGTTTTAGCACTTATTTTAATTAAAATAACAAAAATATTTTCATAAAATACAATTAAATAAAAAAATTACAAAAACTCAAAAAAAAAAAAGAAAAAGAAATCAATGAATAGAAAAACTGAAAAAAAAACAAAAAAAATCAAAATTAAAAAACTGAACAATTAAAAACTAAAAAAGGAAAAGAAGTAACAAAATAAAGAAAAAAATAAAGAAAGAAGAAAGAAGCAACAAAAAGGAGAAAGAAGAAAGGGATGAAAAGAAAAATAAAAGAAGAAGAAGATCAGAAGAAGAAGAAAACTAGACAGGAAAAACGGGAAGAAGTTCCCGCTCTTCCTGTTCCCGCAGGGGGGCTATTCCCATTCCCTTCCCGCGCCAGGTGGCTTCCCGCTGGGCGCGCTGGCTTTTCCCTTGCGGCACACCCCCAAGGCCTTAAGTCCAAATGGCACCAGTACCTCATATAGTTTGGAAAATATGGACCAACATTCCCTTGTTTTCAAAGCGTATTTTTAAAGTTTCCCGTGGTTTCAAAACATTACATTCATACCCTATCTGATCATTTTCCGGTCACTTTTCGATGAAAAAGTGGGCATTGATACCTATTTTTCAAACCACATTGGGCATTCGTGCTTATTTCTTATTTTTCATTGATTTTTTTTGTTTCCCCCTTTTTTCCTTTATTTGTCTCTTTTAGTAATCAAGGGTTTTTTAAATTTGTTTTTGGAATGTTCTTAAAATTTTAAATTATTTATGTTTGAAAGAAATAATAATTAATATATACTGCATCTGTTCATCTCAAATTGACATTTTTTTTCTTATCCGAAATAAAAAATAAAAATTTTTGTCGTGATCTTCAAAAAATGAGGAATAAAATAAGAAATAAAAAAACAAAAAAGAATCCTTTTTGGACATCCCAATTATAAGAACTTTTTTAGGCATTATAAAAATTCATTTTTGTATAAGACTCTTTTTTGCGTGTTTCAATTTTTTCAGTTCGTTTTTCCATATTTTTATTTTTATTCTGGATTTTCTTTTTGAACTTACCCAAAAAATTATTCTAGAAAACAAAGGGTGAAAATGTTCAATTTGAGATAAATGAAATATATGTTAATTTTTTATTTGTATTTTTATTTAAAACCTAGAGATTTTTGAATATTTTAAAACAATATCAAAAATTGAAAGGAAATTTAAAAAAATTTCTAGGAAAAAGAAAAAAAGAGATAAAAAAGTGTTATAAAAGGAAAAAATAAGAAACGAAAAAAAATAAGAAATGGTTAAAGTAAGTTGAGGAAAAAGGTTAAATGGTTAAAAGAGAGAAAAATGGTTAAAGTAAAAGAGAGAAAAATGGTTAAAGACTTAGGGGGTGTTTGTTTTTCTGCCAGAAGACCTTCTGGCGTCTTTTGTCTGCGCCGCGCAGACGCGCGCAGATGATGAACTCTGCAGATTGTTTGTTTTTTGGAAGACATTTCACTCAAAAAGGTCTTCCTGGCATCTTCTTGGAGAAGACATTAACCAATGTTTTCTAACATCTTCTAACATCTTCTCCTTTTTTTTCTACTTTTCTTCACCACCACAACCGTCCACCGCCACCGTCCACCACTACCACCGTCCACCATCACCGTCACCGTCCATCACCATCGTCGTCCACCGCCACCGCCACCACCGTCCACCACCACCTCCGTCAACGTCCACCACCACCCTCCACCACCACCACAATCGTCCATACACCACCACCATACACTACTACCATTAATTTATATAGCAGTATACAGACATTAAAAAAACAAACAGTCTTCTTCTTGCAGACCGCAGACCTTCGGTTCACCACTTCTCCTGCAGATGTCTACAGTAGTGGTCCGCAGACCGCAGACCTTTTCCTGCACAAAAAACAAACACCCCCTTAAAGTAAGTTGAGGAAAAGAAGATAGACAAGGGGTGGAAGAACTTGCGCCGGGGAAAGAGGAGAAAAGAAGAAAAGAAAGAGAGAATAAGAAAGAGAAAAAAAAAGGAGGGGGGGAGAGAGAGAAAAAAAAAGGAAAAAAATAAGAAAGGGAAAAAAAAGAGAAAAAAGTTATTTTCTTTTGATAATGTTAAGCTTTTTTTTACAAACATTACTTTGTTTGATTATTTACTATACTTCGTAATTATTTTTATGTCATTAAAAATTACTTCCTCCACCTATTTTATTTCTTCCCAATTATTAATACAACACCTCAATAAATTATATTTATTTGCATAATATCGTTAATTATTTAAAAAATTTATTTCCTTCTATCGGGATCATTTAGAAAATTTGTTTACAACTAATTCTAAAAAATTGTAACTATAGCCAACACACTGTCTTCTGTCACCACCGGCCATAAGAGTGTCGCTGCAGATCGACTGTTGATTGATAACAACACATATTAGTATATTACATGGGGAAAGAGGGAAAAAGAAGAAAAGAAAGAGAGAATGAAGAAAAAAGGAGGGGGGAGGAAAAAAAGGAACAAATAAGAAAGAGAAAAAGGAGAAAAGAAATTATTTTCTTTTGATAATGTTAACCTTTTTCTATTACAAACATTACTTTGTTTGATTATTTTCTATACTTTGTAATTATTTTTATGTCAATTAAGAATCA